CTAAGTGTTCATGTTAGATTTTAGCTAGTTAACAAAGGCGCGCCCTGAAGCGAGGCTCAACAGCTGTTGAGCGCTTCGCCTTGCTTAGCAGGCCCTTCAATGTTGTTATCAAGGCCCTAAGTCCTTTCCAATGAGCGTAATCCCGAAGAGGCGACACTAAACATTTGATATTTCACTTTATCGTATATTTTCTTTAATTTCTTTGTCCATATATTAGTATTTGTGCTTATAGATATTAGTCTTGGACTACACATGCATATTTGTAGTTTTTTTTCATTTGTGTCTTACTCCATTAAAGCCCACGCTTTATTTGCGCTTAAAGCCCCAACAGACGTTAGAGTTTTTTTTGCGCTTTTGGCGTTTGATAACACTGATTTTAGCTATTATACAGGAAGAGAGTCATATTAAGATATAATAGGTCACACTCTATTGGACATTACACTGATTTTATGTCCTCATCACTGACTCCAAGTTTATCTACCATTCCAAGTTTGTTTTTCAAATCTCACCCTTTGCCTGTGTGTTATATTTAGCAAGAAGAAATTCTCCATCGGTCCCTCAACCAGAAACTTTAGACCTTATAGAACAACATATGATGCAAACTTGACATTTTCAAATGGCAAATGCCATTTAGTTCATAAAGAAGATGAACTTTTTGTCATTTCCAGCCCTAAGAGTTCTGAATCTGAGTGAAACTGGTAGTGGACTACTGCCTTCTTCCATCAATGGTTTATATCAACTGTGTGCTCTAATAATACAAAATTTGCAATTTGCAATTCCTCAATTGTGATAATTCTAGGTTACGTTGTCTGCCGCAAGGTATGGACAAGTTGACAGACCTGAGGCTATTAAATCTACCTGCAGCTGATTTATATTTTTGTCAAAATGTCTAAAATTGAAATGATAAATATGTTGGATACCATATCCCATAAGGGCAGAAAGAATGAGATGACTCTTCTTGGATCCAACCTCTTTTAATGAGCTATCATCTCTGCACAAGCTGACTTCTCTTTGTATTAGAGTGGATAGCTCATCAATTTTTAATAGAGACCGCACCTGGATGTCCAGATTGAAAAGGTTTTGCATTGAAGTTGGGGAAGGTCAATTTGCACTAAAATACAACATGTCAACGAGAATGATAGGCGTGTCCAAGTGTGAAAATTTCAGTAAAGGAGAGCTCTTAGGCATGTTGCAGTTTGCCTCAGAACTGTACTTGGTAGGGTCTCAAGAAGTTGATTGTCTACACAATTTTGATGGATTAAAATCACTAGACATTAAAGACTGTTCTTGTGATTTCAGACCAGTGGAAGAAGGAGTGGACAGTTAGACCCTATGCCGAATCTGGAACGTCTCCGCCTCCACTCCTTACAAAATTTAAAGAGTGTTTCTGATTTCAGTCATTGTCTGAGTCTAAGCTTTTCTAAACTGCGCCAACTAGATGTGTACGATTGTCAAAGGTTAATTTTGTCTTTTTAATGTTGGTGGAGCTTTTGTTTAAGAGGAGCATCAGAATGGCGGAGCCAATTGAAGTCAAATTTAGAGCATTGTTTCCTACCATATCTTGACCTACAGAAAGATCAAAGTTGAAGTTGCTTTCACTGCATTTCAGGTGATGTGCAAATTAACTTTCCGATTTCTTAATTATGAAAATGCCAGTAGAACTATACTTGATTATTTGCGTTATATGGTTTTAGATCCACCTTGAAAGACTTGTGCTTTACGGAAAAAGATTGAGAATAAGCATCTTGAACCAAATTCAGCAGTCCGGTGTAGAAGTAGTTTATCATTCAAATATGTTGAGCTTAACGGACTCGTTTTTGCCTCATTCAGGAGTGGACTAGAAAAGCAGAAGAAGGAACTACATGCACCCGAGACACAGAGTTTGGAGCTTAAGTTAATTGGTGGAGTTTGCTCTGAAATAATTGTTAGGTGTTTGCCATAATTTTCTTATCATATTTAGTTTTCCTATCTCTTGAAGGTAAAGGGCAATATAATTACCTTAACTGGGTTTTCCTTTTTTGTAAAAGGAAATTATAAATCTCCTATATTTGGCTAGTCCTTTTTCTTGAAGGAAAATGTTTGGACTTCTATAAATTGAGGATCCTTCATTCACATTCAGTAGCATCCACAATGTAGTCATAGGGGGCTTGAGAGTCGTGTCTAGGGGGAGAACTTTACAGGACAAGTGTTAGTGTGTCACTTGTGTTTGCCTCTTCGTGAGGTTGTTCTCTCGATATTTTGTACTCTCTTTTTATTATAGTGGATTGCTCATCTCTGTTGTGGACGTAGGTCAGTTGACCGAACCACGTTAAATGTTTGTGTCTCTTTTGGTAGATTTCTCTTTGTTGTATGATTTATCGTCGTTCAAGGTTTGCTTTGCTTGACACCTGACTTTTTTCGGTCCTAACAATAATCAGAGGCGGACGCAAGATTTTAATGCCACGAGGGCACCAGTGTTCTGCTCAACCAGTGCCCCCTAAAAGGCTTTTAGTGTTCACGACACCAAGTAATTTAAATTAACCATTTTCAAGGTATACAAATGTACATATACAACATTTCTAAGTTTACGGGATCCGGTGACCCTCAAGATTACATATAGGTCCACCATTGTCTGTGATTATTTTTCCTGTCAGCCGATGTCTTAAGATTTTTCTGCCGTTAACTGTTCTTGTTTGTACTATTATTTATCTTCTGGTTCTGATATTTTGATTTCCTTAAAACTGTATACTGAGCAATTTCCTGTCATAGTTGTGTTGTGTGATCCCCTTGTTAATTTTTGCTATACGAAACTGGTATTGCTTCTGTGGAAAATGTCCTGCTGCTCTAAAGTTCAATTAGATGCGGGCTATTTGTGGTTTCTTAATAGAGCAATAGTCTTTTCCTTGTCCGTCCTTTGGTTTTTTACTGTGATTCTTGTTATTTTTATGTCTATGAGAAGAAACTAAACCTACAAAGAAGCATATTATGTTTGTTCTACATGGAATCCATGAAGGGGAGCCTTAGAAGCAACGGTAAAGTTATTTCTGTGTGATTTATAGGTCAAGGGTTAGAGCGGTGGAAGCAGCCACTAATGCTTGCGTTAGGTTAGGCTGTCTACATCACACCCCTTGGTAATACGGTCCTTCCCCGGACCCTGTGTGAACGCGGGATGCCTTGTCTGAGGGAGAAACATGGCTGATGAGGATTTATATAGCCGTTCTGAACTTCTTTGGGGCCGAAGCATATGTTGTAACTAGGGGCAGATACACCTTGCGGCAAGCGGTATCACGTGATACGCTTTGTCGAAATTTTTGTTAAATATGTATACATAGTATACAAAATGAAGATATTGGGTATAAAATAACAACGTTTTCCTTATATGATTTATTCATTTAGTTATTTAAATGACATCGCTTACCAAAAATCATGCGTGCGCCCCTGGTTGTAACATCTTTGCCTGCTACTAGGGATAACCTTGAGTTGTTTTGGTGAACAGTGTGATGATTCCTTAATATACAAAGTTCCTTAGTGTAGGAAATGGCTTTACTATAAGCTACTGTATATGTTTTGTAGACAGCGACAGTTTCGTCGGAAAATTACACTATTTTGCTAGATAACTTTTATTTTATTTTATGTATATTTACTATACATTGACTCCCTTTGACTTTTCGATTTATCTTATTATTTATATTTTAACACCCCTTGATGAAAATTATGAATCCGCCAGGACAGTGAATGTTGCTCTAAGACTGTGAATGTCAATAACTCTTACAATGATATATGCCAAGAATCAGATAGCCTTTCCGGTAAAACTGCCCTTGTTACTTTTATGTCAAGGAACATTATAAACCAAACAGGTAGGCACTAATTATTCGCACCCATTATTTATATTATATTAATATCAAATCAATGAATGAAAAATAGGTATCTTTCATACATACAATTTTATCTGCTAAGTTTAAATTATCTGATTTGGTAACTAGTGCACATAAGTATTTACCAAAGTTGTAAACACGATTGCATTGCAGGCAAAGACAGATCAAGGATTTTAACGCAACAGATGCACCACTATTCTGCTCAACTGATGCATCCTAAATGTTTTTAGTATTAAACGTGCCAAGATATTTATACAATTATTTTCAATACAAAATTCCTATCAAAATTTACGGGATTCAATGACCCTCAATATTAGCCCTCTTATTTGGGGTATTATTATTTTTAGCCCACACCAAAAACTATTTATATCTGGTAGCCGAAAAAAGTGTATAAAATTTATATAATTTTTGTATATACCATACAGAATGTATATATATATATACAAAAAATATACAAATTGTATACATTTTTTAGGCTATTATTTTTACAGCGACTATATAGTGTCATTTTTCTACCTCAATATTACACATATGTCCGCCTCTATTCGCAGGAGGGATGGTTCATAGCTTTTCAACCTAGACTTCTAAGAAACTCATTTCAAAGAATATGTATGAACAAACTCTTTTTCAAAATTTTGTTTGTAAGACATACATAGAACTTGGTTAATTTTAACTAATAGAATTGGGTGGTCAAAATAGCACGGTATAGTCAGTTTTCGGACTGGTCATTCAAAAATAGCCAGTGTTTACCAAGTCAATGAAAAATAACCACTATTTTGCTGCAACAGAGACCGGTCCAGCATAATATACTGGAGTTCGGTGCACCTGTGTATGAACTCCAGCATATTATGCTGCACTGGTATACTTTGCCGGGTCCAGTATAATATACTGGAGACTGGAGCACCGGTGCTCCAAACTCCAGTATATTATACTGGACCGGTATACTTGCTGGAACTCCAGTATAAGATGCTGGAGTTCTAGTGTACTTATGCTGGAACTTCAGCATAATATAATGGCGTATTTTTCCGGGTTTTAAACAGTGTTTTCGCTCAGATTTATCTTTACATGAAAAGTGACTAAATTTTGATTACTTTTGAAACTGGGCCATTTTTTAACAGACCAGTTGTAAATCGGGCTATTTTTGAATTTCACGCAATTGGGTGTCACTTGATTGCTTTGCATCAAAAGTCCTCTTCTCTAGTCTTTAGTCCCCACCATTTGAAACTTATAATGGGGAATATGAAACTACTATTACTAAAAAGAGTAAAATGACTACACTAGCTGGTCAATACAAGAAAAAGATGGGTCCAAAATAAAACCAAGAATTTTTGAGACCCACCAAATCCTTCATATCTAAACAAACCATATCTTAGACCTATTTTCATACATACACATCATGTTGCTGGGATTTTCCAAGATTAGTATATCAACCCAATGACCAAATTACCCTTCCGTCGATGGCAAAATCACGATCTAGGGTTTAGGGCATTGATGGGCCTGTGCGGGACGGGAGAGGTGGCCCAAAGATTAAATGGCATCGGCCGTTGTTGTTGGGCCAGGCCCATTTGGTGGGCTCGAGGGTCGACATTTGTGGGCCCTGACGGGGATGGAGTTGGTGGGCCCGCGACACGCTCACATGACGGGCACATGGTGAGGGTGGTGGGAGGGGTCATTTGCATGTAAAATTGAGGTGATAGCTTTAGTGCCCTTAACTCTTGAACTTCCTTTTGTAATCTCCTGTTTTCTTCAGTTAGATTCTCACAACATCTCTTCAAGAATTCACAGTCTACTTCAGTTTGCTTCAACTTTGTCCTGTTCAAAAAAAATTTGCTTGACCCATTAGTCAAAAATCCCAAAATATTCATTCAATAAATAATCTTCACACTATCCGATCGTCTAAAAGATTTTTTAAATTATCATTGTATATAAGTTAAAATTAGTTCACATATGATATGTTGCTGAATTACCGAGGGTCGACCGAAAACAGTCTCTCTGCCCACAGGTTCAGAGTAAGACCTACATGCACACAACCCAACCCGACCCCACTTGTGGAAACTCAATGATTTTTTGTTGTTGTTGTATGATATGTTGCTGAATCTTTTGGTCTTATTATTGCTATATCATTGTCAATATCATCAATCATTATTCTAGAGAAAAAATTGCAGTATATCCCAAAATGTCAATATGATTTGATTTTGACATATGATATATACTGTTCAATCTTTTGGTAATTATTATTACATATCATTTTACATCATTATACTCACTATTCTTAAAGATGTGCAGTAAAATCCCAGAAAGACCCCTGAAAGTAAACAAAAATCTCACCTTGCCCTTCTGTTTTGAAACCAAACCTCCACTTGCCTAGGCCTCAACCCCAGTCTCTTTGCCAAAGCTTGCTTTTGCTTCTGTAAATAAAATATATCACAAAAATAATAAGCTAATCTATTTAAGCAAAAATCTTCTAATAGACCAAAACACACACTAACACCTAATTATTTACCTAAGGCAAGCGAATTTTGTGGGTTCAACTAAATTTATTGTTAAAATCGAACTTTTTAAACATATGAAAATAAATTTAAATGTATACATATAATCTGAACCAATTAACTCTAAAGGTATGTTTGATATGATACAAAATATTTTTCTAAAAAATAATTTATTTTTATTTTTATTTTTCCTTTAGCCTTGGTTGAAAATCATTTTCCTCACTATTATCACTAACTATTAACTTCATATTACTGTTTTAATCAAATTTCGATATTATTACAACAATAACAGCAAACCCATTTTAACCTCAAAAGTGGGGTCTAGGGAAGTTAGTGTATATGCGGACCTTACCCCTACAAGGTCTACCCTATGAAGGTAGAGAGACTTTTCTGATAGAGCTTCGGCTCAAGGAACAATAAAAATAAAGCAACAAGCAATAGCAACAGCAATGTAATAGGGTCAATTTTCGATACTATTATCGGTCTTTAATACTCAAATTTTGTTTTATCAAAACCTCTATTCTATTTGCTAATATTATTATTAATTTTTAGTAAATATTTTTTCTGAAAATCTTTTCCACTCTCCAACTAGACACAGAAAGCCAAAAAATATTCGCCGGAAAACATTTTCAGAAAAATAACTTTCGTCGTACCAAATACCTATGTTGCACAAACTCTCCAAAATGTTGCTAAACCCGTGTCAGATCCTCCAAAAATACACTATTTTTAGAGGATTCGACACACCCGACAACATCTTCGAAGAGTCCGAGCAACATAGCCAAACACATAGTAAATCCTACATAAATTGTGAACTTGGTAGAAGAAAACTTACAGGGTTGAGAGTGTTGTGTTCTTTAAAACTCTCTTCAAGAACAGCAGATTGATCTTTAGTAAGCCTTAGTTTTTTTCTACAAGTTTCTCCATCTTCTTCATCACTAATACCTCTACAACAATCCAATTCTTCCTCACAATTTATTTCTCTTTCATTTCTCTTATTTCCACTCAAACTTGAAATAGTACTATTTGGTGAAGAAACTCCACCTTCTTCTTCTTCTGTATCTGTAATTGTTGGTATTCTGTTCACATCTATTCCCTTTAAAAAAGTTCTGCATGTCTCCAAGTTCCGATCTGAAAAAAAATATTTATGTAAAATTTGGAATATTAAAAAGATTAGAAATTAAATTATAAAGTTTCAAATCAAGAACCTTTTTCAGATTTATAATAAAAATTCATACTAGAAAAAGGTTAAAAAAAAATTCCTAGTCAACTTTTAGGTACGTGAAGGGAGTGGTACATTTATTTGTATCTATTTAGTCATAAGTTTTCTAGTTTCTTCAATCCTAGTCAATCTTTATTTTTTATTTTTTTTCCTATAGTTATACCAATCCAGAAAAATTATCGGCCAAAGTCATTTTTGGATTAGAAGGCAATCAGTGGTGAAGCCAAAAATTTTAAAATGACATTTTAAAAAATTTAAGAATACTATAGATTTAAAGCTAAAGGGGAGTCTTGGACCAGCATTAAAGTTGTCTTGTGTGAGCAATAAGTCACGCGTTCAAACTGTGAAAACAATTACTAATGTTAGTACAAACTGTCTACGTCACATCATCCTTAGGGTGCGGCCCTTTCTTGATTCCTGCATATATATATATATATGCAGAATGCTTTGTGTTCGGAGCAGTGGCGGATGCACGTTGGAACTTATGGGTGCTTAAGCACCCATTAACTTTGAACATATTAATAAATTTATATAGGCAACTGTACAAATATTTAGATAAATATTGAGCGAGCACCTACAAATAAATTCATTTTTCCTCTTCTTTTGAAGTTTTTATCGGCGAGCATCCATAACTTTAAAATCCTGGATCCGCCACTGGTTTGGAGTTGCGCTTTCTTTTTTTACTACAGATTTAAAGCTAAACTTCCTTTGTTACTATATTAAAAACTTCCTAACAGGAAAATTATTTTTACCCTTTTTCACAAAATAACTTTTTTAACAAAAGGGAAAACAATTGAACCCACTAAAATAAAGTAGCTCTGCCCCTGGTTTTGATTTTAGAATATGCAAAAGGGATCAAGGAAAAGGTAAATATTGGTGAGTTTATTGTTAGATCTGAAGTTTTATAGAAAGAAAATAATAAAATTTAATAGATCACAAACCTGAAGAGGGAATAGAATCAGTCCAAGAATTTCTTTGAAATAAATTGAAATGTGAAAGACTAGAAGGAGAAGTTGTAGAAGCCAAAGAAGAGAACAAATTCAGCTGCAATGAATTTGTTGTTTTATTTTCTGGAAAACTAAGACTCAAACTCAATCCCAAATCTTGATTTTCCAACATCTTGTATCTTCAATAATATTCTTGAAAATAAACTTAAAAAGATTTCAACTTTTTCAAAGAGGAGAGAAAAAAGAGAAAACTTTGAAGAGTGATGAGTTGAGGTGTAATTAAAGGTGTTATATAGAAAAATGTAAAGACTTTTTTTCTTTATTTTTTTCTTTTCTTTTTTATTGAGAAAAAATAGGGGTGGGTCAATTATGACAAGGAGAGTCAGGTGTACTAATTATTGTATTCACATTATGATGTATAGCTTTTGCCTCCCCCCAAAAATATTACAACCATTTTTAATGGTCCTTTTTGTTTTGGTCCCACATTTCCTCATTTAATATCATCTCTAATCATCTCTATCCCATACTGTAACAAGATCTCATTACCTTTCTTCCTCACCGAAAATTTTATTTTGTATCTCATATAATTTACGCTAGTTGTATGAGGCAACTTTTTATCTTACAGTTTTGTGGACCCAGAATTCTGTGGACCCAGCAATGTAAGATTGGGGTCCACAATTTTGTGAGACAAAAAGAAGCCTCATACAACTAGTGTCAGTTGTATGAGACACAAAATAAAACTTCTCCTTTCTCACTATTACTTACTTTCTCCGTTAACTTTTACTTTTACTTGGCACGTCGTTTTAATTTTTCATGTCCCTTAAGAAATAATAAATGAAGTGCATAATTTACCATGATATCCATATTAATTTATGCATATTTTATTGGATTTAAGAAAATGATTTAATATGAGTAATAAATACTGTGGGTATAACAGAAATTTTTTTTTTGTCTTCTCTTAATATGCGTAAAGTGACAAGTAAAAATAAAAATTTATATTTAGTATACATACCAAGTAAAAGTGAATGGAGGAAGTTTTTATTGTCACGGTAAAAGAAAGTACATGAAATATTAATGTCAAAGCTGAATATATGCCTAAGTAACACTAAAAATGGCTTGGCTTTGGGATGTAGCTTAGTGGCTTATACTCCCTCCGTTTCAATTTATGTAAACATATTTTGATTGGACACGAAGTTTAAGAAAAAATAAAAAAATTGGAAATTTGTGATCTTGAACAAGTCAAAAGGGCGCTCGAAGTATTTGTGCGAATATAAAAGCTTCTCATTAAGGGTGGAATTGTAAGTTTAAGCTAAATTGTTTCCAAATTTAGAAATGGGTCATTTTTTTTGGAACGGACCAAAAAGAAAATAGGTTCACATAAACTCGAATGTATGGAGTAGCTTATTTTGCTAAAGTTTCTAAAATCAGCTTACTATGCAAAATAATTTTTCTAAAGTGTTTTTAAAAAAATACTTTTGGTGATAAGTAATTTGTGTTTGACTATTTATTTGAAAATCACTTTTGAGCAACAATTAGTGTTTGGCCAAACTTCTAAAAGTGATTCTAAGTGATTTTTCTCAAAAGTGCTTTTCAAAAAAGTACTTTTGAGGAAAAAAAATCTGCTTCTCAAAAACTGTTTTTGCTTCTACTCAAAAATATTTTTTTTTTTTCTAAAAGTTTGACTAAATATATTAACTTTGAGATAAAACATTTTTACCTAAAAAGAAGATAGGCCAAACAGGTTATAAGTCCTTGAGACATATATTAGGCAACCTTCACATCAAATCATGAATGGAGATGCTCAATGCTCATTATATATGATTGCAATAGACACTTGAATTGTTTGTCACAACATCCCAAATTCATTGCCCACTTGAAATATTGGCCCTCTTATATTTGTGCAAAGACCCAATTTTCATTCACCTCCACAGGATTCAAAAAGGATTAGACATGAAGTCATATTCATGGCCTTTATTGTTTCTAGTAAAAAAAATTAGTATGTGTTTGGATTAGTTTGTTGTAGGTAACATTTTTGCATTTCTATGGAAAAAATCCGGATCCTAATTTCTGTAAAACTAATCGAAAATAGTCTCTCCGCATGCAAAAGATAAAGTCTGTGTACACATTATCCTCCTCAGATCACATTTACAAAAATACATTGAGTATGTTGTTATTGTTATCGTTTCTATAAAACAACAACAACAACAACCCAGTATAATCCCACTTAGTGGGGTCTGGGGAGGGTAGCGTGTACGCAGACCTTACCCCTACCCTGGGGTAAAGAGGTTGTTTCCAAATAGTCCCTCGGCATCCTTCCCTCCAAGAACTTCTCATCTTGCTCTTGGGGAGACTCGAACTCACAACCTCTTGGTTGGAAGTGGAGGTTGCTTACCATCAGAGCAACCCCTCTTGTCATCGTTTCTATAAAACTAACCAATTTTTTTTTATTAAGTCGCGTGTAATTCTAGATACTCCTTCTATTACATTTTACGTGACACTACTAATAAAAGAGTCGAACACTAATAATCTAAGGCGCTACTATGATTTTCTCAAACTCTTTTTTTCTAATAATTTGAATTATTTATTATGTGAAATTTTAATATACTTTACATGTAATATTTAAATATATAAATCTTATTTCAAATTTTTTAGGAATTTAGGTCAAAATTTACACAAAATAAGGTTCTCGTATCCTTTACAACCGAGCCCCTCAAGGTAAAATAGAGTGGAGAGAGTGTTACATAGAACATTAAAATTTGCATTATTTATAAATGATGTGTTTTCATAGTATACATTGTTGACAATTCTTATCAGATATGTCAATGAAATCATTATTCTTTTTCCATCATTATTCATATGGAATAAAAATCAATTATTCGTTGAAATTGACGAGTGGATCAAGAAAGTTACTAATAGGGACAGGGAACTGTGATTGAGTCACCAATAATTGTCTATAAGACTTGAAAAAGAAGTCGGTTAGTGAGAAAATAAAAAGGGTCTCTCAGTCAAGAGTGCGGCTAGTGGTCAATAAAGTGAGTTTAAAATATTAGATTTTAGATTTAGATTTCAGCGAAAGTAAGAAAATTAAGTAATTTCTTCTTGTCTAAGTCTTAACGAATACAGAAGTGAGCCAAGATTTCAACCCTGTGTGTTTAGAACGACGACTTCAAGTTGTATGGGGTCAAATTTGACCAACCACGTTCTTCAAGCCAGCACGACCGACCGAGTGTGCGCGAGTCCGGCTAGAAGGGCGACCTATGAGTAACAAGAGGGACGTCATGATCACGTCGGCCGCTCCATAGCATGTACTTTATTTTCTGCCTTTTAATATTCGAGCAAGGATCCTCTATTATATAAAGAGGGATCCAAGCCTTGTAGAGGAGGAGGATTCATTTACTGGAAATACATTCTCTCTCTTTCCTCTCTCTCTAACATTATCTCTCTCCTACCTTTCAAAGATTATCATCTTCTCTCATTAATCTTATTTATACTATTGTCATCTGATTCTATATTCAAGATTTTCCTAGAGTTTATTATCTTTAACTACGATTTACCCCTTCATCTACATTGATTGATTTGCTTAGAAAGTATTAAACAACTTTTGGGTCAAACACAAGTGATAGTGATTGACCCAGATTCAACCTTATGTGTTCTATATTAGAACGACGACTTCAAGTATTAGAGCCAAGATTTCAACCTCATGTATTTTAGATTTTAGAACGACGACTTCAAGTGTTAGTGACTGAGTTTTGAACTTAATGTTTGTACATATTTAATTTCTTAAACACTAAATACATTATTTGAGCAAAAACTACTTGGTTTAGTCGAACCTGTAGTTCGACTTGTGTCTCCGCTCCCGAACGAACAGAATTACCCAATATCTATATTGATAGAAAGTAATAAATACTCTAAGAAAATCGAAATGTATATAAATTAGTCCGAACACTGCAATTATAAAAAAAACAAGATGTCTACATCCAAGGTTATGGAACCATCTACCTCTATGTTCCCAAAGTCTGTTTCAAATAATTACATTCTCAATATGCTTGTAGGACCAATTGTGACAAGAGAACCACTCTAAGCCAATGAACTTGGAACAAAATGTCCACCAAAGATGTAGACTAACTTTTTCTTCAATGAATGCTTCAAGCTATAGTCAAATTAATGGATACTTTTACTTTTGTTTGTATGCACATAGCTTCAAATAAAGTCACATATTAAAAATTTGAAAGAAAACAAATTTTCATATAAGGTATTATGACACTTTTAATGGTACGAAATTTTTTGGAAAAAATTATAAGGACTTGATCTGAAATAAATAATATTAAATTATATTTTAATTATTGTAATGCACAAATAATATCAAAATTAATGGTTATGAAACAAGTATGGAGATGATTGAACGCTAACATGGGGCTTGGCTTACTGGCTTTGCTTATATATATATATATATATATATATATATATATATATATATATATATATATATATATATATATATATAATCACGTTGTTGTTATTGTTTTTTTTTTAATAATTTTTCTACTACTATTTTTTTAAAAAAGTGTTGTGACTATAGAAGGGGAGTCTTAGTGTAACTGGTAAAGTTGTTGCCATGTGACCAGGAGGTCACGGGTTCGAGCCGTGGAAACAACTTCTTGCAGAAATGCAGGGTAAGGTTGCGTACGATAGACCCTTATGATCTGGTCCTTCCCCAGACACCGCGCACAGCGGGAACTTAGTGCACTGAGTTGCCCTATGTCGTGGAAGGAGAAAACATGTGGAGCCAACGGCCCACTAAGACTAATCTATCTACAACTACATCCCCGAGCGGCAGTCAAACGAGGACGTGAATACGAGATGTCAGCGGAATGATCGACCGGACAAATGCTAGGGCTGCTTCCTTCCTTTTTTTACTGTTGTGGCTATACTTTATTTGAGCTGAAGGTCTATTAAAAATATATTTTTTTTACCTTCGCAAGATAAAACTAAAGTTATATATGTACCATTCTTCATAATTTTCGCTTCCGAAATTATACTGAATTTGTTATTAATATAACTATTGTCATGGTATATATACTTGTGAGATGAGAAAAAATAGAGTTGTTATGTCAAAGCCAAAATCAAATTGAGTAGAGATAAGGCTAAAGAAAGGGTAGATAAATGTGGGGCCAAGGAGTGAAGAGACTAGGAGACAGAAGAGAATGGAATTCACGTGAAGAAAAATGAGAGAAGCGTGGAAGTAAAAACCCCTTCTTT